TCTCTCTCTCTCTCTCTCTCTCTCTCTCTCTCTCTCTGTGTCTCCCCGCAGCGAATTTCAGGCTCTAGTGCTCCGACACTGCAGCAGCCGCGTTCTGCTTTGAAACGTTTCTTTAGTTTGTTATTGCTACGAGCTCTCACGCTAACGCGAGAGTTCACTCCTCCCGACACTAAGAAAACAGGAGGGGAGGAGTCAGCTGAGCTCCTGTGCAGCGGAGCACAGAGAGGGAGAGAGACAAAGTAAACCAACAAGCAGGAAAATGAAACTTATCGTCCTCATTTTTTTAACAACCTCAAAATAACTTATCGTGCAATTAATTGATTTATTGACTATCGCGACAGGCTTAGTCAGAACATTGTTTTAGTTTAAATATATGAAAAGTTAAAACAAACAGTTTCATATTATCCTTCTAAAATATGCAGCTGAATAATATGGGATGAAATAAAGAAACAAATGAACACAGCCTTTAGATTCATCTCTTCATACCATTTTTTACTGCAACACAACAAAAAATGTCTCAACTGATCTCAGACTCTGATCCATAATTGATGCTTTTTATCACCAGARAAGAAATGGAAACCTGAGTTTGTGTTTCAAGCTATGACCAAGGGACTGAATTATTCAAAACACTGAAGATCTGGTTACTCGTTTTCTCTTCAGGGCCCCGTTTCAGAAAGCAGGCTCAACAAGCCCTGGGCAGAAGGCAGAAACTCTGAATGAACCTAACCTGCTCTGTGATACTCAGGATCTTCAGTTTCAGAACAGGTGATATCAATTGGGTAACTGAATTCTGAGTCAAGTTACCTCCGAGTTAAGTTGGAGCACGAGTACATAAGAAGCCCTCATCAATGGAAGTCCGATAACACGATTCACAATGGCAACGGGAGGAAATAAGAAGACTCATGCAAGAACCGTTCGTACGCACAGATTTGTTCTTAAATTGTGCGTACGAGTGATTTAGGAGAATTTGTGGCATTCACCAGTTTTCTCGTATTCTAAGATTTTTTTCAGACACAAACAAAATTCAGGAGTGGTCCAGACCCGTCTTATATTTTACGTGCAGTTAGTCTGCTGTYATCCAGAYGGGTTTTCTTCACTAATTACTTTATATTTCATTGGAGGAAAAGATAGAAACCTGTRCAATCAGAAAGGAACATCTAAAAACGCTCAAACGGATATTCATCCAGAAATGACAAGACGTCTAATCGCRGTCTTATCACCCTCTCCCGACACAGAWTTCTGAGGAGTATTAGCGCTCYAACATSTACAGGCKCCTCTAGAAGTCTGACACTTTCATTGTGCAGCTCTGAGCTAAAAAATAAGACAARCTCAGGATTTGCTCAAATAATCCTGCTACAGAGCAGGGTTGGTTCATGACTCAGGATAATGGCTATCTGGCTTTCTGAAAACAAAAACCTCAAATATGCACAGTTAGCCCTAGCCTGGCCCTTGCCTTCCTATGCAGCTCAGCTCGATTCTAGTTTCGCTTCACTGCTCCGTCTGGGACTTCTCCCATTGAGATGGATTTCGCTGGCAGATTTTTGGCCGGGCCAATCAGAGAACAGAACGTCAATTTTCTGCGCAGTGGCT